GGGGTGTGGAGCCCAAAAAAATATATGTTCTAAAATTAAAAAAAAAAAAAAAAAAGAAAAAAAAGAAAAAAAAATCAGCTTTAAAAGAAAACATCACGAATTATTTCCATGGTACTTTAGAACACCCACAAAAATTCAAGCAACAGAACATGGATGTGTTAAACACCAGCATTACTGCATGGAGCACCAGAACCTGAAGTGGAATTCTAGTTATTTTGTTCTTGGTAAATTAGTTTAGAAATGGCAAGCAACTGCAACTGTTGTCACTCTAACTGCATTTAAGGAATTCTGTAAAAGCTTAAATGCTCTACAGATCTTATCATGAAGGAAAGGCACTGATAGTTACTTCTGGGTCACAGGTTAAAAACCTAAGAAGCCTGTGGGATTCTAATTCAAAACCCTGATCTTTACCAGCTTCTCTCGACTCAACAACCCTTGAGCCTGAGAGGGCCACATTCACACTCTTAAGAGCCCTTAGCAACAATCCTAAAACATCAGTTAAACAACCCGCAAACCCCGGGAGCTGAACGAGCTGTGAAGCGCTTGCACAACTGAGAACTACCAGGTACATGCAGCAAACAGGCAGAAAGGCAGAGACCCGGGAACAGCTCCCAGGCACCCAGGGCTTGCTTGGGAAGCTCTACTGTAATCCACAGCTCCCTGAAGCTTCTTGGCTACCACTGAACACCCCCCTGGATCTGCAAACGCTGCTCAGGCCCCAGCCACCATGTGGGCCCTCACACACAGAAGGAAATGTTCTCTTCTATTCTGGAAGTTACTAACACCACACCTTCACATCACAGGCCTGAAATACTCTTCCCCAAAATGCAACCAATCTGGCTATGACCACTCCGGAGTAACAGAGAAACCCAGACTTCATACAGCTCTGGTGTAATTGTTTAATGAATGCATAAAGGTCACTCGAGCAGACTGCTTCCTCTCCATCACTGAGGGCACTGCACTCTGGTAGTATTTTCTAGCAACCTCTCCTCTCTAACATCCAAAACCCTTTCCAGATTTAACTGCTGCAAACACACGAGGCATTACCCTGCACTTTCAAATACACAGTTCAGCTTTCACAACCAACTTTTACAATTTTTAACATCACAACACTACAGCTCCCAATTACGCCTTGTGATAATTAGGGGAAGTCAGATATATGAGCCATTTCCACAGCAAGCAAATGATTTACAAACTAATGGTATTGCATTAGACCTTTTCAGTGCAGGAACCTGCCTTTGCTCACAGACAGCACAGCACTACTTGCACAGGACCCCATCCAGAGCACGCAGCACCATCTCAGAGGCCCCAGAGCTCCTGCCATGGGTTATCTCAATTACTCACTTCCAGCACAGGAGGATGGATGGTTTCTCCCTCCTGCTGCTAGGAAGCAGAGATGTCAAAAAAATATATGTGTCCTCCTTTGCTTCAAAAAATTCAGTTGCTTCCATGATTCCGTATTACATCATCTTAATTACAGCATGTGATCGCATTAATCACACCTGGTGTGAAATAAGTTATGAGCTATCAACAACTATCTTGTTTTTCCACGAAACCACAGTGGTGAGGCAGAGCACCTGAAAGGGCCATTTGCCATGAGTTTAACGTGCCAGAAGCACTGAAAACGTGTTAAACAGACCTGCTGAAGTTCCCAGCTCAGGAAAAGTCAAGTGTCAGTTAACTTTCAAAAAGATACAGGGCTAAAGGCCAGGGAATATCCAAGTTCCACAGAACCGCATGGCTTATTGGCAGAATCTGTCCCACTTTGTAAAGTATTTGTGCTAAAGCTTCCAGGATGATACACGGCTATACTAACACCGACAATCCCAAGCACTGGATTACAGAATTTAATTAACTAATAGCTAACTCAAGTACCTGCATGATGTGAGCACCTCAACAGGAACATTCAAGTAAGTTCCTTTACTGTGTTATGTGCAATAAGGAAAGTTTTGATGATTGAAGAATTAGATCTGTCTACATCACTCAAATCCCACTTGAAGTAAAGATTTAGCTACCACAATAAACTTACATAACAGTAATGAACCTGTTACATTTCTGTTTACCTTTGCTTGATTTCTCCCAAGACAATAACAGTAGAAAAGATGTTGCTCAAGGTCTCCTGTATTACTACATTTTGAAACAGAAAAGGTCAACGAAAATGTCACTTAAGGTGTGACAAGCACTATCTTTAAGTGTACGAACACTCCAGATGCTGTAATTGCTAACCTGAACCTCTTTCATAATCACTTTGCAAATATCTTGAAAGTACAGTTAATCAGACATTAGTATAGAAAATATCAAATGCAGGTAAGCCTACCTGCAAAGAACACACCCCCAAAAATAGAAAAAACTGGAAGTGCTCTTCATCACAAGGGGGAAGGAAACTGCAGCTGCCTGAGGATTCTCTGGGCAACAATTTCATGGGATACTTTGCATTTGAAAGGCCAGAGAATTTCAGTTCTCACTGCATATCTAGTGCACAAGGATAATTGCTTCCTGAGAGTTAATATGAAAAGCATTATTTTCTAAATAGCAAAATGAATTTTCAAGAGTATTCCCACTGAAAACAGACGGCATACTTTTCAGTAATCAACTTCTCTGTACTTTTAAAAATCAACTTTTTAGAAAGCAAAGCTGCATTTCTCCGAGACCAGGGCAGCAGTGCTTAAGTTACTACTGTCTCGCACAGTGGAAACAGCTTGTTCTCTGTGGGCTACAAGTCCCTTGGCAAAAAGAGAAGCACCATCCAACCCCCGATTTTTATGAGTATTACACGAATTCCTGAATCCTCCTTCAAAATTATGCACAGATGGAGCTCTAAATATCCTAGACGTATCCCATAGAAACAGAGGAGCAAAATCTCCACCTACTCTTGCGTCTCCCATCATCACGGACGTTGCCCAGTGTCCCCCCCACCCTCCCCTTTCCTTGCCAGACCTCGGTGTTCCAGGGCCACAGATGAGGTGCAAGTAGGAACAGGTTTAAAGAAAGGGAACTCATCGCGCCGCTTCCCTGCTGAATCAACCTCCTCCTCCTCCTCCTCCTCGCCAGTCTCGCCACCACTCATACAATTCTTAATGGAAGCGCTCCCAGCCCTGGCAGCCGTTCCGGAGTTGTGGAAACACATGCGCTCCGCGGGGATCTCTGGCTACCCGAGAGCAGAGCGCTGCGAGGGCAGCAATGCCCCGAGCCCGGGGAGCCACGCAGCTCCTCCGCCAGCACAGCGCGGGATTTCAAGGACACGCCGGCACCGCCGGGAGCCGGGACGCACACCCGGACACGCGAGTGTCTTCCCAGCACACGCATTCCCAGGAAGGGGCAGCGTGCCGGCTCCCGGCTCGGCCGGCCGCAGGGGCCGGGCCGTGAGGGGGATCCCGCGGGAGGACGCGCGGGGCAGCCCCCGGCGGGCGGGCGGGCCCCGGGCGCGCCGGTACTCACGGCGTGCAGCGGTCGCTGTACTCGTTGGCGATGGTCTCGATGCCGCCGCTCCGCGCCACGCCGATGTAGCAGTTGAGGAAGCCGAGGTCGATGCCGACCACAGACATGGCTGCGCCCGGTGCTCCGCTGGCGCTGGGACCGGCCGCGGCTCCGCGCCCGCCGCTCCCCCACTGCGGAGCGCCGGCACCAACCGGCAGCGGGCCCGCCGTGCGCAGGCGCCGCCGGCGGGGAGCCCGCCCGGCCCCGGCGCCGCCTCGGCTCTTTCCGGCAGGGCTCGGGCGGCACTGCCCTTCCAGAAGGATCTGGAACGGGAGGGATGCGGGCGAGCGGGGAGGAAGCAGTGCCGCCCAGAGCGACGCCCCGCGCCCGCGTCAGCGCTGCGGTGGGACCGCCCCGCCCGCCTTAAAGGGTCCGGGGAGCGCGGCTGTCCGGGCCTGGCGCTGCTGCACGGTCCCGGTTAATGAGATTATAACAATCCGGAGCTATTAGTGCAGAGCGGCGATCGCGGCCATTAGCACCTGCCGTGCGGAGGGGGCAGGCACCTGGAGCCGATGGAACCTGGAGAACCGCGGAGGGCCAAGGTACGGGGCGAGCCCTGTGCTGGAAGCCCAGTTAGGCCCTTGTTGTGTCCGACAGAGGTGGGGATGGCCCTTGATGCCTCCTGGTGCCAGGAACAGGCAGAGTTTGGGCTGTCGAGTCCTTCATTCTGCCCATTGCTGGCAACCAGGGAAGAGCCGTCCCCGGCTGGGGATGGGCCCTGTGTATTTCCAGGAACGGCCTCGTGTGTTCCCTTTCCCTGGGGAAAAGAGTCATCTCGAACCCCGGGTAACTCTACTTACCCCACGTTTTATGGGTACCGGGTGTTTGTGGATTGAAACTCGACAAAACAAACCTACGGGCTGGAAAAGTTCCCTAAGTATTTATTTGCTTCTAAAAATGACACGGTTTCACACAGCAATGTGACGTCTTTGTGACAGCATGTGACACTGCACTGCACAGTTCTGTTCCACTGGAGAGATTAAAAATAAGCACAAAACGACTAAACTAGTTTAATATCCCTGTCAAGAGGATTGATTCTCCCATTTGTCGCGATTTCATTGGTCTACTAAACAAGCAGAATTTTCCTAGTGAAAACATACTCTTTCCCTCTAAAACTTCCAGAGGCAAGAGAAACCACTGGAACACAGAATCATTTGTAACACAACTACTTTATCTGCCTCAGTTATCTCATTTTTACTTGCTAGGATTAGGATCAGAAAGGCAAACCAGGTCCAGCCCTGGTAGCCAGGGAGGCAGATCCCCCAGCTCCAGGTCCTGCTCTGCTTTTTCCATCCCTGTTAGAAAAACAGTGGTTCAAGGTATGGCAGCACCACTTGAGGCTGACTCCCGACTGAATAGAAACCTCGGGGCAAGGAGATTAAATGCAAATGTTCCTGTGTGGTTGTGCAACCCAAGCCAGCTGGTTTGAAGCAGACTTGTGCAAACATTCCTGACTGGCACCAGAAAGTGCCAGTGGGCTTTTTATTTGCTTTGTCAAGAGTTGGAGATGCGGAGCAGGGTGAGCCAAACTCTTGGAGGCACTTCCTAAAAGCCATCTGTGTGCTTCAGTGTCACGCTGATGCCCAGTCTGTTAGTATGAACAAAACTCACTCCAGCCAGATAAGCCACAGACTTGCCTGAGCACAGCCCCGTTTCTCATCATCGACTGCCTCTGTAGCAATCTTGGGCCTGGGGTTGCCCCAAGTCTTTCCAGTTCTTGGCCTGTGGATCACGTCTGGTACTTCAGTAGCTCAAAAAGAGTATTTGTCCAAACTCCATGGGCCAAGGGTTTAATGTAAAATTAATGGCTGGGGTGAAATCTTAGGAATGCTGCTGACCTTTCTTTGAAACCAGACATTTAAATGCCATCTAATTGCTTTTTTTGGATCCTAAGTTATCAATACTCCACAAGGTTTGGTCTTTCCCTCTTGAAAATTATTACTGAAATAAGAGTCTTCTTATTTATGTACATGCTAAGATTTTTCCTCAGAACTGAGAAGAATCCTCAGCTATTATTAATTTTCTCAAGCAATACTGTCCTAAGTGTTCTGGGTGTCTAGGTGTCAGCTCTTCATATTTTTGGGCTGTGTTTTGGCTTAAAATGCTGCCAGCCAGGTAAGAGCCTTTTCAATGTTGTTTTAGTATGAACAAAATGGAAACATTGAGAATTCGAAACAAGAGGCAAGTAAGTATTTTCTTGGATTCATTGGTCTTTCTGTGGTAAAGAACACTAAGGAACTTTTCTCCTAATGGATCACTCCAAAGGGGGATCTTTTGACTATTAAATATTTATCTGGTGTCACGCTCTGTTAGCTGGTACCAGTGGCTAAATTTAGAAAAGCTGTGATCCTTCTTCTGATGCCTCTTTTAAGCTCTACTGGGCTAGTAGAAGGCTTAGGAATTAAATGAGGTCACTCCTGTCCTAAGGGTGCTCTGAGTTCTTTCAATGCTATTAAAACTTGCACAGCTCATTTTTTTTCCTTCTTTAGTATGAGTGAAATAGTTTTATACCAAGTAGATTGCAGTTCATAGTGATCAATAGAGTCCTCTAAAACATATTAAGAGCTGTTTTAGGAACCAGCACTGGTTTTTTGTCTTCACCAGCAAAAAACATGCACAATTTTTTTTGGGAGAGACAAATCCAAATCCCTCTCATTATGTCAAATTCTAGTGGGGAGAAGGTATTTATTTTTTTTTTTTAATTAATATTGAAGATTTAACTTAGCTACATCTGAAATCAAATCCACTTGCAATGTCAAGATAAGGTTCTAGGTTCTCCAGAATGGCAGAAAGATAGTCTTGTCTACTTTAGGCCACACAGATGAAACATGATCAATACAAGTAAATGTAGTAACATAGCTAAAAAGCATTCCACATATTTTGGTTTGGATCAACATGAATATAGGCAAATGAGAGGCTATTTGATAATGGTTGCTAATGGTACAGAGTTGCTGCTTAGCTGACAGAAACCAGTTTTGCTGAAAGCAGCAACTGTAGTTTGCTTGTTTCTGAAAGTTATCACATCTGGAAAATACAGTCTTAATTGGAGAAATGTCAGGTGCTATAATTAATTCAAGGCCTCCACTTGGATCAGAATAAGCAGCATGATAAGAAATTGTTAAAGTCATACTAATCAGCCTCATTTGAACCTTTGGAACAACATGAATGAAACAAGGATCACTCACAAAATACATTTATACAGCCACAACACATATAAATCTTATCATTCTCATATTTTGTGCTAGTAAACCCATTATCTTACTCTAAATTATTATAATTTATGTTTCTAATAATCTTGATACTCTTCTCTATCCTAGTGTAAGTTAATGACCAGAAACAGAGGCAATTCTTTGGTAAAGCCTCAAGAGGCACAGCATTTTGAAATAAAACCAGCATGGACTGCTGCTCAGATAAAGCATAAAACAGTGCAATCACATTTAGTCTGAAAGGAAGACGTCAGTAGTGCTAATGGGGTAAGCTTCAAGGTTTGTGATATTTAGGACAGATTACCAGAGGTATGCAGGGCATTATGTAAGATTTTAAGTATCCCTGGCATTTTCTGAAATGACCTAAGCAAGTTCCATGCCAACATTTATTCAGATTTTCTGTTGACTTCCTGGAATAGCAAGAGAGGAGATCCTTGAAACAAAGCACTTTGGAACTAACAACTTTCCTGTTAGCGGGTGGCAAAACTTCCTTAGGGATGCGGGGAACAAAGTCCTGGTTTCTCAAGAGCATTTTTGTGTTTTGTTTATTAAATTATTTGTATAATAGGAAGAATTTGTATTATTAAATGTACTTCAAATGCTACTGAATGACCTATTAAAATTATTCTACCCACAAACTTCTCCTACCCCAAATAGCTGGCTCTGAGAAGGAAAAGGAAAGCCAGTACTAGTTTTCTACTAAAAGCTTTCACCAAGCTGTGAGCTGAACATACTTTAACAAAACAGAAGTGGAAGAAGTACAAGTTCTGTAAGCTGCACACCAGATCTAGTAGACAAGTAAGACATGTAATTTTGACCAATTTCTGTAATTACAGTAATCCTACTGTAGAAAGACTTGGCTCTTCACTAATAGTCTGTCAAGCACAAATAACTAAGTGGAAAAGCTGTAGCTAACACCCTCATGAGTTTGTAGTAAGTGTGATGATAAAGATTTAAAAGGTGTTTGTAACTGTTTGTAAAAGCTACCTTAATGGTGTCCATAACATCCAAAACTGAAGGCCTGGTGCATCATGACTCCCTGTGTACAGAACTACCCAATCCCTGTACAGGCCAGAAAGTCCATCTGTATTTGTAATTTTAATAATCCAGTCCCCGGTTCCTGGAACTGTTGCTCAGCAGCACCTAATAGGAAAGAAATTTATGCACACTGTTACACATGCAGACACCTTGCTTTTCAGTACAGGCTGCCTGCATAACTGAAACATTTAAACAGAGGAGATCATTGCTTTGTCTTGTTTTTAACAAAGCATAGAGACATGGAGGGGTGAAGACTGTGTATTCGAACTGGTAGTGACTTGCATTTGCTGAAACACTTTCCAGGTCAAGTAACTACCATTCCAGTGCTGCTGTCATTCAGCAAAATCTTACGGATCCAATTCTCTCGCCCTTTCTCTGGAAAGATTTTTTTTCTATGGAGTACCATGCTTTCTCTTCCTCCCCACACCTTCTTGCTCAGATGTATGAGAAGCGTTACTTGTTTCAGCTTTTCCTTATAGTGGAGCAAAAGTTAAAAAAATCTATGTGACAAAAAAAGTTAAAATTATATCTGTAGATTTTTAATCTGTTTTCCAGCTCTTGGGATTCTCTACAGGTGAAAACATGGCAGGCAATAAACCAACCTTTGAAGGAAGAACTCCAAACTGTATACCTTATTATACCAAAGGCATAGCAAAATTATTAATTCAGCCCAAGTACAGGGCATAGGGAGCAACAGGTGAAGCAAAGCAGCCAATTCCTGGGATAACCTTGAACAGACAAGAACCAGTGTTAAATTGTCCATTGCTGGCAAATCAGGAAAGCCAACAGCCCCAGAGACTTCTCTTTATACTACAAAGCCTTCCAGACACTTTTCAGGAAATTAATTTTACCTGTTTGAATGAATGAAATGGATTTAGAGACATAAACTACCCAGAAATCATCTCCAGTTGAGAAAATCTTCAGTTGATAT